CTAAGAATGAATTTAGGAACAAGATTATGAATAGCTGAGCTACAGGATCAAGCCCAACTTGTTAAAATGCAAATATTATAGTAACAGAATGAAAACAAGGGCCCAGTATATTATTATATAAAACTTCTTGTCTCGGGTGTCCCAGCGTTAGTCACCCTTTACATTTATTATCTCTGTCACTGATTCCTCCCCACCACCAAGTATAAAAAAAATATTTTTTCTAATTTTAAACAGCAGCCCTGTCTCGAGAGATCAAACAGAACTATACAATTTTCAGTAATCTATTTTGTAAATAGCATCTTGAATACATTTCTTGAAATAACAATGCAATTGATTTGGAAAAACACAGGGTATGTCTACAATGTGATAAAAAACCCACAGCACCCAGTCTGAGAGCCTAGATCAGCTGACTTGGGCTCCAGGGCTTGGGCTGCAGGGTTAAAAATAGCAGTGTAGAGGTTTGGGCTTGGGCTCAAGCCCAGGGCGTGCGACTCCCTCTCCCTCACAGGGTGTCAAAGCTGGGCTCCAGCCCAAGCCCAAATGTCTACACTGAAGTTTCATAGCCCTGCAGCCTGAGCCCTGCAAGCCCGAGTCAGCTGACCCAGGCCAGGACTTTTAATGCAATGTAGACATACCCACAGTGGTAACTTATTCAAAGTATATACAGAGCTTTTTCTATGTTAAATATTTTGACATGTTTCAAATGTGATAACAGTACATACATGACGATCACATATTAGCCAGCATGTTCGCATTATGTGGCCAAATTGACAAACTATCTTATCTAGCAACAGTCTACAAATGGTCCCATTTTGTAGACTTAGGACTGCAGTTTGGACTGTTTCACTTAAGTTTTGATATTCTGAGCTGCCCTCAAATTCCACTGATTTGAGTGGAGATTGAGGACACTTAGTGCCCTATAGGAGCAAGCCATTAATACTGAAACTCTGTCACTTGATATTGTAGAGTACTCTGGACCCAGATACATCCGATCCTACTGACAATCTGAGTGAGCAAGCCAGAGAATTCTGCCAGAAAATTGGCAGCAAAGCCATGAAAGTGTCAGAGATTGTGGCAACAAGAGATCAGGCTGTTTACCAGGCCATTCAAGAAGGAATCGATAGAGTCAACATGAAGTCCACGGCCAGTGTTCAGCATATTCAGAAATGGACAGTCCTGGAAAGAGATTTCTCCATTTCTGGTGGAGAATTTGGTAAGACCTCTGCATACTAATCTATACTGAGATACTTAGTGAATACAGGAGGGGTGTGGAGTACTGTAAGATTGGGATGACTATTTCTCAGGAATGGTGGAGCTGGGAGTTATATAGCTCTTCCCAAACAAGTGGCAATTATCTGATAGCAATTCACACTGTCAGATTACAGAACAATGATATTGATACAATCTTAGGGATCTCAACCACTCCAAGATAAAATCAAATCATATTACAACTTGAAATTTAAACTATGGTTTGTGAAATATGGGAGCTTCATAAAAACCTTCATATAACATACTAGTAAGTTATCTTTGTTCGGTTTTTTTAAAATTAACAAATTCAAGAAGTCCTACAATACTGGTGTCAGTGAAAGAATCAAAAATACAAAAAAAAATTATATAATCTATTTGCCAACCTATTTAATAATCGTTAATTGTGTCCACAGCTTTTTCTCTTTTTAGAAGATGGTCCAATGAAATCAGTTTGATCAGAGAAAACAAAATCTTATTGTAAACCTTGCATAAAAATTAACCAGGAAATCAAGGTCATTTGGCAGCCAGAGCCTGTCTTTTGTGGGGAGGGAAAATTATGAGCAATAATTAAAGATCTGTTGGTGAAAGATGTTCTAGTTTCTTGCTTCACCAACTTTAACTTCTAACTAATGAAATACAGAATATTTATGTGGACTCCTGTAAGTATTTAAAGATGTATTGTGTGACCGGGATCCCAGGGGAGCCACACTGAGGTTACTCAATTCGGGCAAACTGCAAAGAATGGGGCAGGCAATCCCCAAAGCTGGTGGATATTCCAATACTTAGATTTACCAAACCAGCACAAAACAGCTTCTATAATACCTCATTGGTTACCCACAAGCCAAAAACACAGTTCCCTTAAAGTAACTCAGGCTTAGGCTTCCACCGAGACACCCAAGTCAAATATGGTGGGGATTACTGAAAATCTTATTAATCATATAAGAAAGTTCTACCCATCCCAAAAGATCAAACACATTACCTCCCAGATCTTCCCCAAATACACGCTTACAGCCAATCTTTATTAACTAAACTAAAATTTATTTAAAAAGGAAGTATTGGTTACAACAGGGGTGGCCAGCCTATGGCCCCAGAGCCGCATGCGGCTCTTCATAAGTTCATATGTGGCTCCTTGCATAGGCACTGATGCTGGGGCTGGAGCTATAGGTGCTAACTTTCCAGTGTGCTGGGGACTGCTCAGTGCTCAACCCCCTCCTCTGCCCCAGGCCCTGACCCCACTCCACCCCTTCCCCCGAGCTTGCCATGCCCTCGCTATCCCCCCCCTCCCCACCAGAACCTCCTGCGCACTGCGTAACACCTGATTGCAGTGGTCGGGAGACGTGGGGAGGGAGCGGGAGGCACTGATTGGTGGGGCTGCCAGTGGGCAGGAGGCGCTGCAGATTGGAGTGCGGGGAGCTGATGGGAGGCTGCTGACATATTAGTGTGGCTCTTTGGCAATGTACATTGGTAAATTCTGCTCCTTCTTAGGCTCAAGTTGGCTGCCCTGGTTTAAAAGATCAGTATACATACAGACATGAGTACCATTCTGAGATCAGTTTTATATTAGAGATTATGAGCATTGTAGTTTCAGGCCTTCTCTTGACAGCATGGAGTCCTCAGGCGAACAATAGGCAATCATAGAGACTTTGAAGTAGACCTGTTTCCTAAGCATCACTGGTAATTAGCTACATGGATTAACATATGGCAATTGCCTGTTTTCCAACATTCACAGGCGATTTGTTATATCCTTCAAAGAGAGATGAATATAGTAATATTATTATTTACAGTTCATTTGAATGTTAAGATCTCCTTTTGATCTCTGAATTAACAGAATACAGCATAGACAGGAACCATTTGGTTACACTGTTAACCTCTAACAAGATATAAGTACACACACACAATTAGTATCACCTCTAATTTCTAACAATACAGGTTTGCATTTCAGAGTTCATGCCCATCTGACAGAGAAAGAACAGGAGTACTTGTGGCACCTTAGAGACTAACAAATTTATTAGAGCATAAGCTTTCGTGGGCTACAACCCACTTCTTCGGATGCATATTGAGTGAAACATATCGAGGAGATATATATACACACATACAGAGAGCATGAACAGGTGGGAGTTGTCTTACCAACTCTGAGAGGCCAATTAAGTAAGAGAAAAAAAACTTTTGAAGTGATAATCAAGGTAGCCAAGTACAGACACTTTGATAAGAAGCAAGTGTGAGAATACTTACAAGGGGAGATAGATTCAATGTTTGTAATGGCTCAGCCATTCCCAATCCCTGTTTAGCCCTGAGTTGATTGTGTCTAGTTTGCATATCAATTCCAGCTCAGCAGTCTCTCGTTGGAGTCTGTTTTTGAAGTTTTTCTGTTTTAAGATAGCCACCCGCAGGTCTGTCATAGAATGGCCAGACAGGTTAAAGTGTTCTCCCACTGGTTTTTGAGTATTATGATTCCTGATGTCAGATTTGTGTCCATTAATTCTTTTGCGTAGAGACTGTCCGGTTTGGCCAATGTACATGGCAGAGGGGCATTGCTGGCACATGATGGCATATATCACATTGGTAGATGTGCAGGTGAACGAGCCCCTGATGGTATGGCTGATGTGATTAGGCCCTATGATGGTGTCACTTGAATAGATATGTGGACAGAGTTGGCATCGGGCTTTGTTACAAGGATAGGTTCCTGGGTCAGTGTTTTTGTTCAGTGATGTGTGGTTGCTGGTGAGTATTTGCTTTAGGTTGGGGGGTTGTCTGTAAGCAAGGACAGGTCTGTCTCCCAAGATCTGTGAGAGTAAAGGATCATCTTTCAGGATAGGTTGTAGATCTCTAATGATGCGCTGGAGAGGTTTTAGTTGGGGGCTGAAGGTGACAGCTAGTGGTGTTCTGTTATTTTCTTTGTTGGCCCTGTCTTGTAGGAGGTGACTTCTGGGTACTCGTCTGGCTCTGTCAATCTGTTTTTTCACTTCAGCAGGTGGGTATTGTAGTTTTAAGAATGCTTGATAGAGATCTTGTAGGTGCTTGTCTCTATCTGAGGGATTGGAGCAAATGCGGTTATATCTTAGAGCTTGGCTGTAGACAATGGATCGTGTGGTGTGTCCTGGATGGAAGCTGGAGGCATGTAGGTAAGTGTAGCGGTCAGTAGGTTTCCGGTACAGGGTGGTATTTATGTGACCATCGCTTATTAGCACAGTAGTGTCCAGGAAATGGACCGCTTGTGTGGATTGATCTAGGCTGAGGTTGATGGTAGGATGGAAATTATTGAAATCATGGTGGAATTCCTCAAGGGCTTCTTTTCCATGGGTCCAGATGATGAAGATGTCATCAATGTAGCGCAAGTAGAGTAGGGGCGTTAGGGGACGAGAGCTAAGGAAGCGTTGTTCTAAGTCCGCCATAAAAATGTTGGCATACTGTGGGGCCATGCGGGTACCCATAGCAGTGCCGCTGACTTGAAGGTATATATTGTCCCCAAATGTGAAATAGTTGTGGGTGAGGACAAAGTCACAGAGTTCAGCCACCAGGTTAGCTGTGACATTATCGGGGATACTGTTCTGACAGAGAGTGGCCCTAATTACCATACATACTTTTCTAACATGTCTCAGTCTAAAGGTTGAATTTGGGTCATTTATCCTGCAGGATGCTTAACCCTTTCTGGCCCTGTGTCACATATTGTATGAAAGATTTACATTGTTGCCAAATACACAGAACCTCTAGTAAAGGAAGAAAGGGAACATGTCAAAGGTGGTAGGCTAATATACATGTGGGGGGCTTGTTTTTGTCAGTGTTAGTTTCTTCCAGGTTATAATCTTTGCCTTGAGCAGCATCTTGGATACTATCTAGGGATGAAATTTTCAAAAGTGCCAAAGTCACGTGCCAGTTGTCCAATACCAGAATGATTTCCTATCAAGTGAATTTGAACTGTGCTGGTGGATGAAAAGTTTGAGATCTTGATTCCTTTAGCCACAACATTATTTCAGAACAGCAAAATTCCAAATTCTAGTTTGTGGCTGAACTGAGATGTCAGAAAAATAGCAGTGTGGTATCCATTAAATTCTATTTCTTTACTACTGCAGACAGCATGTCGTCCTTCCTCTAACCAGATAGGGTTATAACAATGGGGTATCCTTTATAGGAATGGGGTTCATGTTTACCAAGTAGATAGATATGACTTTTTCCAAGAAGCTGATTTTTTTTAAAGAAAGTGTCTTGGGCATAAATGAATTGTGGGGCCCATCTAGTAGGGCCTACTGCAAGTTGAGGCAGTTGTTTGGGAAATAATGCATCCACTTCTACAGCCCTGATGACTAATTTCTTTCCACGCAAATCCATCCACACTGTAGCTATAGTTACCTTCCCTGTCCACTACATCTCATCCCACTGACTTAAATCCCTCCAATAGTTTCTTGACTCATTCTGTCTCAGGTTCAAATTGAGCTTCTCCTTCAAGGCTCTGTACTTATATCATCAATGATTAGCTACACCAATTGTACTCTTAGCATGCATCCCATGCGTGTGAGATTGGATCCTTTTTTGATAGCAGTATCCGCTATGGCTGCATCTGCTTCCTTCCACCCTCCTGACTAGTGTAGCTGAGGGCATACTCAGTTTCTTCTCTCCATCCATTTTGACTCAGCTATCCCCTACAGCCTCCGTGAGTGAAGTAAGCCTATATCTCCCAACTCCCATTTGAGCCCTGGCTACAGTAATGCTGAGTTATTACATTCCTTGCTCCTTTCAGTATTATAATGATTTTGTCTTTAATGCATATCACATGAGATTGGGGGAGAAGGGGATAGAGAGAAAAGTAAACAAACAAACAAAAACCTCACCCAAAGCAAGATACAGTTTTTGAGAAGACCCTGTGAGTATGTTACTCAGGATTATTTGAACGCAAAACTATGGTAACTAATCTCTGTTTCCCAGGTGGTGTCAGGAAACAAATCAGTGGGGGGACAGCACCTCCCTCTGATAAATTATTGGTAAATACACAAATGCTTCCACCCCAAAATCCTTGTTTTTATTGAGTACAAAGCATACATCTAAAATAGAAATAACCTAGATCACCCCAGAATATAGTTACCCGAAGTCTGAGGTAGTATCCAGTGACAGCAGCAGGTTTCTGGTGGCTGGCCTTCCTCCTAGGTGGTGGGGAGGTAGATGTCAGAATGCAAACTCATAGAAATCCTCTCAGAAGAACTTCTCCAAAGTACACATACTAACTAAACTCTTATATGTAATTCAAAACATAGCATAACTCAAAATAACCCCTAATGGGCTGACCGTTTCCCTAGCAACAGCAAAGAACGCTCAATTTCTTCTTATCAGTAAAGCAACTCTAGCAAAAAAAAAAAAAAAAAATTAGAGACAGGCACCCAGACCAAGGTCAGCTATCTTTAGTAGCACTGCAACTGTGCAGATGTTTTTGTCTGCCTAAGCAAGGCCAAATTCTTTCTCACTATGTGGTGTCCTCACTTCCAGCCCATGGTGGCTAAGTGCACAGATGGCTGCAGGTTATGTCAAGTCCAGGGCTCTTGTAATAAATAGATGCTGTAGTGCGTCTGGTGAAGATGCTCTATGCCGACAAGAGTTCTCTCCCATCGGCATATTATCCATCTCCACAAGAGGCAGAAGCTGTGTCAGCGTGAGAGCCTCTCCTGCCGACATAGCGCTGGTGTGAACAGCACTTAGGTTGCTATAACTTGCGTCGCTCGGGGGGATTTCACACCCCTGAGCAACACAAATTAGATCGACTTAAGAAGTAGCGTAGACCTGCTGTAAGAAAGGGCTCTTTAACTGAGGACATTAAGGGAGAAAGCTCGATTAGTCCTCTTAAAAGTATTACTAAACTGGGAAATAGCTACTTTGTTACCTCTGCTCATGAAGCCTGACATTGCTTTGTCCACAAGTCCTTTGGACTGAACTTTTCTGTTTCTGCCCCAGCTATTCTACAGTTCCTATGAGAGATCAGCCATTGAAGCAACAGGCACATCTACTAGTCAATCCCTTTGGAGGAATGTTGTACTAGGACTCATTAATCCTCCAGCTAGGAAACTTTGCTGTAATTTCTCTCTCCTCTTGTAATCAACTTTGGTTTGTTTTTTGGTGGTATGTTTTTTTTTTTTAGGTCCTACGATGAAATTAAAACGACCTGCTGTGCTTGAAAAATACAAAGATGAAATTAATTCATTTTACAAAGAATAAAATTAGTCTTCATGCCAAGTATTATCTGCAAGTTTCCCAAGAAGCAAAACAAATTCACCAACTCTGTGTTACAGGAAACAGCTCCCAACAAATGCATTTGAGGATTTACATTTCTAGGCGAGCACACCTATCATTTGTTTTGCACCCTATGCAACAGGCATTAGAAGAGAAACATCCATGTAAAGATCTAGTTGTAATTCTACATGCAAAGTAATAAAATTTCTTGCTACAGATAAGTATTCCTACTGCCCTGTCATTGTGAATATTTTACTTTTGGTCTTAAATGAGTTAAACTTAATGACATACTAATGTGGGTGTAACTGTTTATTGTAAGGATGTAGCTCACATTCTTATAGGTTGGGTAAAAGAATAAGATAAGACTAAGCAACACCCTAATTGATATTTCCTTACAGTTTTTATAGTTCTGTAATAGGCTAAATAGATTATAGTTCAAATGTTTGGTAGACATAACTAATCAAGTGGCACTGCTTAATGAAACTGCTATATCCTCATAGTATCAATGGCCATTGAGCCATAACTGAAATTAAAAGATCAACAGTTCTATAATGTTTTCAGTTAAGAGCATCTAAATAGTCTTGTACCAAAAGAAATGCTACACATTGTGGCCTTATTAATTCCTCTTTCCAGCCTTGTAGTTTGTCAAGTGAGTTCTGGATTGACCATCCCAAAAAAAGACAATGAAGATTTTTTCAATCTTTGGTTCATGCTGAAAGACACTTTAGTTTAGCATTTCCCAAAGAGTCAAGTGATGACAGTTGGTGGGCATGATCAGAAATAACAGCCCAAGATCAAAACTTAGACCAGGGCAAAGAATGTCTCACTCAATGCAGGGGACCTGAGTCAGAGAGGATAAAAGTAATGATTTGTAAAAAAATATTTAAATGCAGGTTTATTTAAAAAAAACTTTAAAATTAAATTTGAAATTGACAGCCGCTAAAGCCTAAGCTTATCTATTAATCATTTAAATTAAATATAAAGCAGTACATTTGCAGTTGAGTTTTAAAAACAATCAAAGCACTGAATTGGTGGGAATTTCTGATTATGTACTTGGAACTAGTTTGTTAAAATGCTCAACCAGATTTTGACAGCAGTAGTCTTTTCTGCAGGTGTAGAGGGAATATTTTCTTCATTTCTGTTTATTCAGCTAGTTCAGTTCAATGACCAGTTCAAAAATAAAAAAAAAAATGGAAATTTGGGGAAAAAAAAAAAAAAAAAAAAGCTTGTTTTCCTCTTCCAGTCTGACTAAAAACTAGGTGTAAGAGGATGAGCTCTACTAGTACTAAAATCTTGATGCACATAGTGACTAGAAATGGTCAGTTCAATTCATTAATTAAAGATACTTCCTTTGTTTAATAAATCAGTTCATTTTAAATGCAAAATATGTTTTGACCAGAAAAAAAAGTTTGTACCCATCACAAGGTAGTTTAATAAAAAAAAATATTAAAATGCTGTTTGTGCATTTAATTGAATTTGAATTTCCATCTAAATAAATCTTGATACAAATTGCAAGTAAAAATTTAAGAATCTGATTAAATTAAACTATGCAATTGCTTAAGTGTACAGCTAGTGTATCTTCCTGCTTAGCAAAAAGCAGGAAGTTTAGAGTAAAAGTAATTGAGAATCAGTGTTTTAATGGTTATCAACAAGAATCACCCTTTCTTTAGGAAAATAACTAAAGTACTAATGCAAAACAATTAAAATCCGTGATTTAAATCAATCAATCCTGCGCTGATAACAGGCCAGAAAACTAACTGGAATACCAGGCATCTTGACGTTTTCATCTATTTGCAGCACTTCGCAAATGCCTACAGCTAGGATTTTGAGGTGTGTGTGTTTGGCTACTATGTCCCAACAACATCATTTGTTTTAAACACGTGCTTGTTAAGAGTTTGAAATCTTATTTAATATTATATCTTTACAAACCTCTGAGGTACAACTCCTCCTCCCCACCAAACCAAATTGCTTAAAGAGCCTGATTTTGATATCTGGTCCTTATCAAATGGAAGAAGATAGCAGCAACTGAAAGTTCTACAAAAAGTTTGTCCTTAACTGATATTTGCAATAAGATGTATGTACAGAGGAGGTACAGTGAGCATATTTTCTTACAACCTACTTGCTGTAACACATGATTTTCAGTAATCTACTCAAAGCATTAAACAAGTCAGCAGCCTAGGCTTATAAAAAACAACAAATGGTATGACTTTGGGAAGTCTTTATTTGGTATGACTTTGGGAAGTCACTTTGTGCATAATAGTAACTCAGTTGCTTAATTAGCATAATACAAATGAATCAAGGGAGCAGCAACCACACTATGCACATTCAAATCAAGCTCAACCTCTGCTCCCACGAGTTCTAGTCTGTCCTGTGATACATCCAAGAGAAGAAAAATTACCATTATCATTAGAAGTAGTTATGAATGCACAAGAAAAAAAAAAAATCTCTCCCTATCACTGCCATAGGGTCGAGAGGTATAACAAAAGCTGGGATGCTTATTTTGCAGGGCAAAACTAAGTGACTTTGCATCACTCGGTTTTGCTTTGGAAACCACCAGACTGAATGAGGAAATAAGTGAAATTAGTGGCATGGGACCTATAGACAGAATTAAGCTGACTACAGTTGGGGTACAGATCAGAACCATAGCCAGGAAATTTGATTTATATGCATGTTAAAGGTTGTAGGGATGGAGCTATTTAGGTCAGTATCTGTTATATGTGTCCATGATACCACCATACGGAGATGAGAAGGGGACTTAACTTCATGGTCTTTGCTAGGCTTAGTGAGCAAATGCCTGGAAACCTCATATCCATCCATACAGTGAAGACAGATTATAGGTTCCAGAAATATTAAGCATCAGAGCCAAAATTATAGATCATTGTACTAGATAATACCCAGTTTCCAGCTCTGTAACAGTCCCTTGTTATCTAGTCGGTTACATTCAGAATTTGAGAAAGTTACTAATCAGTACATTTAAACATCTCAAAACAGACAATGCAATACATAAAAACAAAGTACAAGAGAAAAATTGTAATACAAAGCTACAGAAAACGTATATTTCCCCCCTCACACTATAGAGTGGGAGTCAAGGAATTTTATCATTATTCATTAGGACAGCTCTATCGTAAAATAAATAAGAGTCTTCCTCTCCGAGCCACCTTACAAGAATATTTGGATACATAGCTTTGTATGATTTTACTTTACTAGTATTATTTCTCACACCTGTTTTGATGCCTTGATTTTTAGACAGAAAAATATTCTAACTGATTAAATATCTGTAGGGTTTTAAGTCTTTATTCATGCATTGAGAGAACTTTTTGTTTTTCTTGGAACATCAGGGCACCTGAAAGTCTCTCTTCATTGCTTTTGATACAACATTCCTAGTAAGTTTCATACCCGTTTGTTTACAAAAGTGTCATCTTGTGCTATTTTAAGGCCAAAAAGCCTATTTTGTTCCATTCTACGACCAATAAAATAGATTTTATGCTTTCTTTAAAGGTGCTTTTATAATCATGCAAATTCAGTCATCTTGATATTTACAGAAAATCTTTTGAGAAGTAAAAACCACTTAACTGAAATGTAAAATGGTAAACAATTGCAAGTGATACAATAAAGGAATCCACTTATACAAAAACATTTCACCACAGACAAGTAATAAATAAAACAAAGCACTTGGAAAAAGTCCACTGAAAGCAGGCACAAGAGTTATTTGTATCCATTTGGGCTAAATTTATTAACAAAATGGCCCCATCTAAAAAGTTTGCTCTCTCTTGAGATAGGCAAACCAAATGTATATGAATTGCAGATGACTATATAATGTATTTGTAATGTGTCCATTTGGAGTGATTGCAACATTAGTGATATGAGGAAACTTTAGTCAATATCCTGTACTCTGCGACAGATCTCTGCTGTGTAGTCCGAACACTTAGCATTACCTCCCAAATCTTTTGTTAGGACCTGAGAGAGAAAAAATAGACATTTTAATTAAAAAAAAAATGTAATCTGACTATTGCAGCTTCTAAATTAATTTTACATTCTGAACAGAGTATGCAGTACTATGCATGCAAGGGAACAATGTTAACTGTCCAAGGTTCTCTGTAATACAACCATTTTAATAGAAATGAGCTTGCAAATTGCAGCATGGACAGAAGGCAAATTCAAACAGCGGGTTTTCATCATAGTAGTAGGTTATCACATGTTAAGACTTTAGCATCATCATTTTGCTGGATAGCCATCTGTCTTGGATGGTTTAAACACAACAAATCCTGCACCTTGGCAGGGGGTTAGACTAGATGACCTTTGCCATTCCTTCTAACCCTATGGTTCTATGATTAGTGTGATTGGGTCTCAGACTATGCTTGGTTCTTGCCTGAGCTCCACAGACTGTGTTTGGGGTTCGCCCCAGTCTGAGCCCCACAGACTGTGTTTGGGGTTTTCCCCAGTCTGAGCCCCATAGACTGTGCTTGGTGCTACAGCTCTGCCTGACTGCAAGCCAGAGCCCAGATTGCTTGTGGCCCTGCCCTGCTTGAAGGCTGGGGCCCATTGAGTACCATTAATTCCCCCTTTCCTTGTTTGAGAGTACTCTAGCAGGCCAGACTGCATGGAGGTGTGGCCTCCCTCAGAGGTGGATTTGGAGGGAGGGCCATGCCAGCTTACAAGGAGCAAGATCTTTAATTGGGGAGGGGAAGAATGCAAAAAGTTAAATGATGGGAAAAGGTGCTGAATAGGTACAATGGTGGGATAATGTGGCAAATGTGGGATAATGGCATTGCCTGGCCCTGTAGTGGGGTGGTCACCCAGCTCCTGCCTGAAGAGGATAAAGCAGCCCTGGAAAGGGCTGCAGTGGGGAAAGCTAGGCTGATTGGAAAAGCAGCCACAGCTGTGGTCAGCTTAATCAGGGCCCAGCTGGCCCTTAAGAGGGCTGTGGGCCAGATGAAAGGGAGATACTCTCTCTAGCTTCATTGAGAGAGAAGGACCTGGCTGCCTAGGAAGTTGAGAAGGGTATTTAGGGTGGAGCAGTACTGGGGAAGAGCAGAGGGAGCTCCAGCCTAGCAAAGCCCCAGGCTGCAGGTCGAGTTAAGGGCCCACAAAAAAGGGTACTAGGGCTGCAGAGGGGCAGCCCAGAGATAGGCAGAGGCAGCTGGTCCAATCCCCCTTGCTGATGATGAGTGGTTTGCAGACTGCAGTCTGCCTCAGGGAGCGGGGGCTAGATGATGACTGGCAGTAGCCA